GAATGCATAAGATGGTGTTATGCCTTCAGTCTTCTATTTCTTATTTTATAGCATGAGAAATGAGTCATCACAGTTCAGGTTCAGGCCAGTGAAGCTCACAGAAGTGTAAGCAAGCAGAAGTTCCATCTCATCTGTACATACAGACGTAATCTGGCAGTGTTTGGGCCTCTAGATTATAAAATCATAGAATGGTTTGGTTTGGAAGGGACCTTTAAGGATCATCTAGTCCAACCCCCCTGCTATGGGCAGGGATATCTTCCACTAGACCAGGTTGCTCAAAGCCCCATCCAACCTGGCCTTGAACACTTCCAGGGATGGGGCATCCACAACTTCTCTGGGCAACCTGTTCCAGTGCCTCAGCACCCTCACTGTAAAAAATGTATTCTTTATATCCAGTCTAAATCTACTCTCTTTCAGCTTAAAACTGTTGCCTCTTGTCCTGCCATTACTGGCTCTGTTAAAAGTCTCTGTTTTTTTTATAAGCCCCCATTATATATTGAAAGGCTGCAGGAAGGTCTCCTTGGAGCCTTTTACCACGCTGAACACCCCCAACTCTTTCAGCCTTTCTTCATAGGAGAGATGTTCCAGCCCACAGATAATTTTTGTTGCTGCCTCTAGACCTGCTCCAACAGGTCCACATCTTTCCTGTGCTGAGGGCTCCAGAGCTGGACACAGTACTACAGGTGGGGTTTCATGAGTGTGGAGTAGAGGGGAGAATCTCCTCCCTCAACCTGCTGGCCACACTTCTTTTTATGCAGCGCGGGCAAGCACACATTGCCAACTCATATCTAATTTTTCATCCACCAGTATCCCCAAGGCCTTCTCTGCAGGGCTGTTTGCAGTGCAAGAAGTTTATTCAACAGTTACTGTTGTGTGTCTGAGTCAAGAGATACTACTTCTGGTTATGGTTTCTGTTTATATTCAGCAAAACAAAATTCATATTCAAAATTATCAATAGATGTGATTCTGTCATATGTTGTATTAAGTCAGGTATACTATCATTTGAGGGAAACAAATTTATGTGATTTGCTTGAACTATATGTAGCATCTTACTTAATAGACATTTATGGATATTTCTAGAATTCGTCTTTTTTTAAACTCGTGTTAATTAGCCACCCTGCAGCAATGTCTCCACAGAGTTCAACTGTGCCATGAGTGTGGATGAATGGCCCTAGTTTTGACTTCCCACCAATAATTTAATTCGATATCACCTATTTAATTTATTGGAAGAAACACTGAATAGTGTTCATATCACTTTTCCCATTCCGTATGTGATTTAATAGATCTGTTTTAAACTTAAGTTTGTCTTGTGTTTTATATTTAGTGATTCCTTGAATAGAAGCCATTCCAAATTATCAGTATTATGTCACCCATCTATATAAAATTTTACAGTTCTTTTCTGTGCTTTTTAAGATAGGAGACTCAGAACTGCAGACAGTAGTGAAGATGTCAGTGTGTTAATTCATATGGTATCACAGTGTTTTCTTCTTTACCAATTTTTGGGGGTGAGAGGGAGGTAATGTACTGTTTGGTTTATGGACTGCTATTGAGCATTTTTAGAGCTCCCTGTTACCATGCTTAAGCCATAACAGTCAACTTTGATGGTTGTCATGTAGTTAAAATTGTGACTGTTTTTTCCTTCATTTACATTTTCATGTTTATTTGCTCAGAATTCCTTTTGTCATTATACATCCTGCAAGATCTTCCAGTCGTTTGCATTCAGACCATCTTGATTTCTCTAAATAATGTAATACCGCCAGTAAACTTTGTCATCTCACCATTCACCCCTGCTTTTCTACCCATTTGCAAGTACGTTGTTCAGCATAGTTCTCAGCACAGATTCATACAAGAATCGGTTGACGATAGCCTTCACTGTGAAAGCTGACCATTTATCCCTATCCTTTCGTCTTTAAACTAGTTATCTATGTGAGGACCTTCCCTCTTTTGTTATTAAAAAAAAAAAAAAGGGTAAGATTTCTTAATCTAGAAGTATTTTTAATCACAAATTATAATCCTGATCAAATGATTACCTGGAGGAGCAGCAGGTCTATGGAGCTGGAAGGGTCCTTCCAAGCACTCACTGTTTCACTGACAGGGTGATCAACTAGTAAAGCTTTAACAGTGCTACTGTCGTCTTCCATTTTTACCTCATATAGCTTTTCATAGCATTAATTTTATTTCCTCTGCCTACAGGAAAACACACAGGCAGGCCTACTGGCTCCTTTGACTATGTTACTCTTAGACAAGGGAATCGACATTTTTGTAATAAAAATCCATAATCAGAAATAAGAGGATTTCGAATCTGGCACTTGAACAGTGTCGTTCTTTGAGATGTTGCAGGATGTCTGGTTCTAGAATAGCTTTGAAGTAACCACATTATTCAGTACATTTAAAAAGTACTATAAAGCAAGCAAAAGTTTTAAGAATGGAAAAAAAAGGCTTAAGTTGTCTTTGCTTTCTTGCTAGTGCTAATTTCTGTTTAGTAGGGAAAAAAAAACACCTGTGCTAAGCAATAATGCTTTCACTTCTCACCCAAACATACCTAAGCTCAGAAATCTTGTGATACAGATGAAGTAAACCCAGTAATTTCATATCTCATTTTATCTGGCAAGTATGTCTTTTTTTTTCTAGATACATAATGCTAGCATTTCTCCTCCATAGTGGTCCTAAAGCCAAAATACATGGACAAAACTATTTCAGTTTTTCTAGTCAGCGTTCTCTACTCAAGTCTCTCATCACTTTTTTTTCACAGCAACTTCCCAGAACCAAGTAGTATATTGCAGCTGTGCTCATCATATAGAAAAGTACATTTTGTTTTGCATTATGTCTAGCCCAAAGATGGTATTTAGTCCTCCTTCCTGCTACATCAGTTGGTCTAATTTGCTGTCTGTTCTTGCCTGTTCCTGTTAACATTACTGTTCTGCACATTTCCCATTTTCTGCTGAAAAAAACCCCAAACCTTTATCTTTCCACTAAATCTTTTGTTTTTCCTGTTTTGCTTTTCTTCCTTTTTCTAGATCCTTCCTATGTGGTCTTTTTGCCCAAATGGTCTTGCTAACACAGGATTTGGTATCACCTATGACTATTCTTTCCCTCTCACTAATGAAAGTGGTAAATAATTATTATCATACACCTGTGAAACATTTGATTTTATACACTTTCAAACAGGTGAAATTTCATAATTCTTTATATAGATATATTTTAGATTTTGTACTGTCTTGTTTTGTAGCCCAGAAATATCTTTCTACATGGATCAGATCATCAGGTAAAAATAGGAGACTTTGGATTAGCCTGCAAAGACCTTCTTTGCGATGAGGCAGACCAGTGGTTCAAGACAGAAGGGATAAATGGTAAGAGAAAAAAGCTTGGTGGGGTTTCTTTGATATTAAAACTGTGAAATATTAAATTCTTAAGTGAAATCGTAACAATGTAACGCTAGCTGAGTAAGTCTAAATTATCTTTTTAAAGGACTGACGCACACGTCAGGTGTGGGGACTTGCCTCTATGCCTCACCAGAACAATTGCAGGGATCTCACTATGATTTCAAGGTAAGAGGTATTTTTTTTCTATTAACACATAATGATAGATAATAGGAGTAAAACAAGCCCTTCAGTAGGTAAATACATAGTATCTGGTAAATACATAAATACTCCTCCTACTGTTATTCCTAATGTTTTTGTTGAAACATAGATTTCAACTTGGCCTTCTAGTTTGCTACTAATACAAAAACTATGTGTGTTTCTAATATCATCTTGAGGAATCTATACAGATTAGAATTTGTGTTTGTTTAGTTAGTGTCATGATACTTTTCATATCATCGTAAAACTTCACTGACATGAAACTTTTTCACATTGTGAATTTTTAATGAGAAAAAGAAACCTAGTAATTAAAAACACCAGTTATCCCAGAACTTTTTCTTCACCCCATTACCAGTCAGACATGTACAGCATGGGCGTCATCCTGCTAGAACTCTTCCAACCGTTTGGAACAGAAATGGAAAGAGCAAAAGTTCTTACACATTTAAGGAATGGCCAAATTCCTCACACTTTCTACAAAAAATGGCCTATTCAAGCCAAGTATGTGAAACTCCTCACCAGTCAGAGATCTACAGAAAGACCAACTGCTGCTCAGCTGCGTGAAAGTGAACTATTTCATACTGCAGAACATGTAAGTTATGCTAATAACGTCAACCTTTACAGGATAAAAAAAAAATATAAAAAGGAAATGCCCTTTGTTTCCCTGCATTATGGGTTGTTTTTTTTTTTTTAATGTAACAGGATTCTGTGATTGAGACTTCCCCCCCACCCCCCCAATTACAGTATTTAGCCCACTGTATCATTGTTTCTGGTGAACCGAGATAGATGGTCATTAAGTATAGGCAACTTAATGAAGACTAGACAGTTGATTTACATACAGCTTGAGGTATTTTTATAGGTCAGAAAAGCTTTTGAAACTTTTAATCAGCTCTGCAGAATCTTTTTATCATTTTCCCTTTCCTTGCTGCACTTTGTTTGTGGATTAAGTTGTAGTATCAAGTAGGCAGAATAGCTGTGGAGCTGCAGAATGCGTCTGTAGTGGATTGCGGACACAATTCAAATAGGTTAATAAGGCTTTATCCTTCCCTGTCTATAAATGAAGTAAACTGGCTCTCATTTTCAGGTTATTTCTAACCTACAGCAGAAGGTGAGACAGCAAGAGGAAGAAATAGAGAAACTGAGAGAGAGAATAAGACTGCTTTCTGAAGAACAAGATGAACACATGAGTCTAGGCTCTCCTGTTTAAGTGCAGGAACGACTAACCTCTGTTGTACGCTAAGTTTACATAAAGTGTTCCTTTTTTTTTTTACATAAAAACAGGTCAATGCAGTTTGATTTTCCTGTCTGTTCTTAAAAGGTATTCATCTTTTTGTCTTAAGTCTATTCTGTTGACTGGAGACTCCTGAACTATGTTGCACTTAGCCTCAGTACAGTTTAACTTGTGCAAATAAGCATTTGGATTACAGGGAAAAATACAAGGAAAAATTAAAAGTGCAGCTTGTATTTACATAGAACTACTTTAGATACCTTATAATCACTAAATACACATGTATGTTATGCATCAGTTACAAAAATGAAAGGTCACACCCAAAAAGTAGCTGTAATGTTTTTATTGATTTTAGAATGCTGTCCAACTGTAGTACTTGAACAGATGTCAGAAAGGACTCAAACCACTCTAGCAGGCATGAGGTGGAACAAGATTAAAATTACACCATTATGAAGAGTACAGGCTTACTGCAGCAGCTTCATAACAGAGCTGAAAGGTGCCAAGTTCTCGCATGACTTCATCCATTTTTGCACGTTGGCTGGGGCAGCATTTGCACTACCTGTCTGCTGAAGCGCACACCATGCAACAATGTCTGCTACGGTGAGCTCATTTCCCACCAGCCATGATGTCTTGCCCAGGGCAGCATTCATAGCGCGCAAGACTGCTCCTTTTTCTTTACTGCTGCCTTCTTTTAGCTGGAAGATGGCTGTGTCAACCCAGCTGTCAATCAGAGTTGAAGTAACTGCGTTGTACTTCTGGCCACACAGGGAAAAGAGAAATCTAGCAATGTTCCCTTCTCCTTCAATAGGGCACATGGTTTGAATGCTGAACTTCATCTGGGGTTTTGGAACTGAAATTAAGGAAAGAAAAGAAAAAAAAAGTGAAGACCACATGGTAGAGAAGTTAAATGTAATGGTAATTTTATGATACATTTTATTTGTGATGCCAGCAACACTGTAACATCATTAACCTCATGAACAATTTTCATTTTTCTTAGTCTAAATACTTAGACTAAGGCAGGAATCTGGGATAAAGATACCCCTTTTTACCAACTTCAGCCCAATCTCACACCACATTTCTATTCTAGCTAATTTATTTGTAGAACCTGAAAAACACTTCTATAAAAAAAATCCTGTGGGTACAACCAACCCTGTAAATGCCACATGTATTTTAAGAGCAGTAACCACAAGAACCTTGAGCAAAAATGTTATCTGCAGTACGTATCCACTGTGTGTCAGCACAACAACACCAAAGCATCTGTTGTCAAGGTTTTACAGCACAAGTTTCATTTTCTCACCTATTTAAAAATATTGATCTACAAGATAATTTCATTCTTACCATCCTTCCAAATAAGAGTAAAGCCCAACTGATATTCATGACGTGGTTGCTTCTTAGTCTGCTCTCCAAAGCATTTCAAGAGGTTTTCTGGCACACTCTTCACCGATGAATGTGTGTGAACAGCTGACAATACTTTATAGCGTTCACAAAGCAGACTGTGTAGTACCAATAGTGACAGCAGAGGCACAGAAGGATTTGCATTGATTACAATATCTTTCAGGGCACCATAATCCTGAATGGAAAGTAAGACATTGGGCAGGTAAGACACATTCCAGATCAGACTCTGAAGTAGCGGAGTTTTTATTTGACACCAAAGTGTACATAGCCATGCATGTGTATATCTGAAATTCTAGCGATACTCAAATAATTCAAGTTTGGACATTTAAAACTTGTTTAAACATCTTCCTTCCTCACAGTAATAGAATTCAGGAACATGACTGAGGTAAATCTAGTCCAATCTGAAGCCAAAGTTAAAATTTCCAGTTAGTAAAATAGAAGAAACCAACTGCCATAATTCCAAAATTAAGCATTCTCGCTTGGATTTGTATCAAAATGAGAATATATAGGATTTAGTATTTATAAATGTATCTATAATCTGGATGCCCAAAATGAAGCAGTAGCTATAGGTTATTTGTAAGAATGAGACTTGTATATTAAGTTCTGAGTGTCCTGGGTTTTAATGCCACCCTTCCAACCCTGAAAATCTGAGAGGCAAGAAACTGTCGATACATATGCTCAACTAAACTTACCTTTCCAAGCATCAAATCTAAATCTGCTCCATTTGTTGTCAAAGGAGAACATTCATCAGTTTGAATAATATTAGTTACATCGAAGTCAGCATCTGGAGTTTGTATCATCTTTGAGAGGCCATCGACAGCACTCTTCAGTTCATACAAGCGTTTCAGAATCTCTTCCTGGCGGGATTCAAGCGCTTGAAGTGACGGGTCAGCCTCTTCCTATAGGAGAGGGAGAACCAAGGTCACATAAATGTTCATTTGGCTCAGTGTCAAAATAGCCCACAGCTCACTTGACAATAAGTTTTGAAAGACAGTCAGATAACTGGAATGTCATGGAGCCTTATGTCTATTAGTTGTCACATTGCTCAGATCTTTCCGCTTAACCTATTTTTTTTAACCATTAGCTACAGCAAACTCTGTAACATAAAAATCAGACCACAACCACAGAAACTTAAAGTTGACTGTGAAGTGCTGAATTAAAACCTGGAAAACCAAAGTTGGCTTGTCAGGATCCTCTTCAGCCCCGAAGAGCAGACTGACAGAGTTTGTGTTGAGGCTGCCAAACAAGGCAACTCTTTGACAATTCAGGTAGTTAATAAAAAACCTCTGCAGGTTTAGATGGATGGGGATGATACGAAATCATTCTTTGTTTCAGAATCAGTTATCTTGTAAGTCTCTTGTTGTACAATGCTACCTCTTTTAAAAGATGAAAAATATGTTCTTGTGGGAGGTTTTAAGTCTACAAGCTTACAATAATGTTAAAGAAAAATCTTTACATAGATAAACCATTTCTAGGCATCCTGAAGGACTAACAAAACCCAACCTTAAGCATCCTGAAGAAGGATTAATGAAACCCACTATTGATCAAACTTCCAGTCTAATGGACAGAGGTAACAAGCAAGGTATCCAAGTGCTATCTCAATACCCACTTCCACAATATTCTGAAAGACACGGATACAAATCTTAACTGACCGTTACTTGGCTAGTACGCAATTCTATGAAATAAAAACCACTCTCAGAGACTGGTAGTTAATGCTTTGCTGGTGCAGTGGGAGGGCATCTAAGTCAGCACTCTGGTGAAGTTCTGCCCCAAGTCCACTCCTACTCAGTACCTCCCCCAGCAGCCCGGGTGAGGCCATAGCAAGCACTCGCTGGAAAGATGCGATGTCATCAAACTGAAAACGGCCACAAGCACCCTGGAAAAATTCAAAGCATTCCTGACACTGCAGGGGCTGAAGTCAACTAGATTCATGTAACACAATATTTTGCATTTTTGCCTTATTTAAGAAAGAAGTAACTGCGACTAGAAAGAGAAGGTGTGCGGCCAGCTAGTTCCTATCTCAACAGAAGGAGAAAAAAAAAAGAAAAAAAAAAAAAAGAAAAAAAAGAAAAAAAAAAAGACCTGAGCCAGCAGAGCGATGATGCAGCAGGAAGGGACGCGGCCTGCTGGGACACAGCCACCGACCCCAGGGCCTGCAAGGCCTCGGCTCGGCGGGGCACTCCAAGTACGGCCCTTTAAAAACCAAACCAGAGGGAGAAACACACACGAGAGCCCAGAAAAGCCAAGCGGAGAAATACCGAAGGCTTTAAAAATGTAACAGGGAAATTCCTGAAGAAGCTGAGCCTATCTAACCCTCGAACGAGCCACTAGCAAGGGAGGAGCAGCGGCGCTCGCCTGTGCTACCGCACCCTTCTCCGGCGGGCTAAGGCGGCGGACGGCAGGGACCAGGCCCCTGCGA